GGTCTGCAATGATAGAATGATTATTTAATGTATTGCATTGCACAAAAATTCAACACACGCTCAAGTAATTAAAATGAATGATAAATACAACTACATGAAAACCACTAGAAAATGAAATAAATCATGATTTCTAGTTCAATTGAAATAGTCTAATATGTATTTGTGAGTACATGGACTCACTCTCCCATTGAATTAGAGAAGTTAAAATTACAATGTAAATGTACAACGATGTTTCAGTAATAATAGTTATAACAGGCCATGAAGACCGCAGTTAATTGCAATGGTGGCAATAGTTCACCGTGAATATTGTATATGATATTTGTAGCCCCAACTTGTCATAGAGGTCGTGGTTAAAATTCATGAAAGCAGTTCGTCATGTAGGTCGTACATGTTTGCTTCGGGAACTTTAGTTGACTACATGGCTGGAGTTGGAAGCTTCATAGTCTGTAATAACATTTTTAGGTCATAAAGGCCGGAATTGGGAGCTGCACAGACTATTATAACATTCATAGGCTGCAAAGGTTAGAGTTGGTAGATGCATGAGTTGTGATATCGTTCGTAAGTCACTAAGTTCAAAGTTGGGAGCTGCATGAGTTGTGAACTATGTAGGGTGTAATTGATCACATAGGTCATAGTGGTAGGCTTCCAACATAAAGTTTTAGGAGTCCGAAAAATGTCACCGTATTTAGAATAAGGAGGTTGTAAGCAATTATTGTGGGGTGTGTTATTGCACTTCCTCCGGGGGGCATCATTGCACTACATGTGGAGCGTGAAGTTGCACCATATTTGGGGTGTGTTGGCACACCATATTTGGGAGGTGTTGTTGCATCATAGGTGAGGTGTGTCATTACACTGTATTTGGGGTGTGTAGTTACAACATCATCGATGGTGTGTTTCTCTATATGGTGCAACATATGTCAAGATTTGACAGCGAGCGTTGTGATTCTGCAAGGGGCTTGATTGTGATGATTAAAGGATAGCCAACAGTGGTTGAAGATGGTCGATGAGAGGCAGTCGATCATAGTGAATAGTTGTAAGAGCGAGTAATGTTCGTTAAACCTTCGATGTGGAACATTGGAACTCAGCTCCTTCTCCTCCAAGTTTTGGGCTTCCTCTGGTTCAAGGGCTATTATAGCTCTCCCTTCATGAATGGGGTGGGGTTCTATTTATAAATTCTAGGAGAGGTCACCCTTCAAATAAGCAAAAAACTGAGAAACTCCACAAAACGACTTAGAGAGGTTCCTTTGATTAGATGACATTTTATGGACATTTGAGTGCCTCAGAGATGTTTGAATCGAGTGATCTTGAGCTCGTTGGCTTCAACTCGTCGAACTACCCAATTTGAATATAAGCTTGTCAGAATTGAAATCTATCTGACCTTCTAATTATGCATCAGAAGAATAAAAATAATGGCATAACAGCTCGATCTGGACTTGATTTGACTCAAAGTAGACAACCATTAGTGTCATTGTGTTATTATTTTAAAATGGTTCAATTTAACTATAGGTTTGTTGAAATCGAGGTTCTGGATTATTTTAATGTAAGTTCGAATATTTATTGTCAAAAAAATTATATTGAGATTCATGTCATGTCTCAAGATTCGTGTTGGATTGATGTGTAATTAACAAATTTATCATCTGCCAAAAATCTCAAGGCATGAAATGAATCTTACGGCAACTCTTTGAGCAAAAATTGCTCAAATTTCAATTAAAAATCAACTAGAACTCCAATTTCAACAAACTTAATTCAAGCTGATGGACTCGACGAGATGGACCCAACGACGCCAAAATTGTTCCAAGTCAAATTAAGCTCAGATCAAGGAGTTAAACTTCCCTTAGAAAATTTCAATGCATACTTGGAAGGAGAGAAAAAATTCTAAATCTAAAAAATTTATAAGTAAATCAAGTGTCTCATTAAGACAAATCCAACGAGCTCAAGATTGCTCAATTCTCACATTACTAAGACACTCAAATGTTCACTGAAAATCATTTGCTTGAAGGAATTTCTTCAGGTTGTCTGATAGAGTGGTATGAATTCATTCTTTATTTGTAGATACGACAATCTCATACTCTATAAATAGATCCCTAACCCCCTTTTATTGGGCACCTTGAGCCAAAAGAATATTGAAGCTTGTAGGAGTTGAAGTTCATCATTGTTTCCGCACCATAGATTTGAAAATTCTCAACCACTTTCAATCACATTCCTGCAACCGTTGTCGACCACCATCAGCCACCACTTGCTTCTTGTAGTGAAGTCCCTTATGGATCCATAACGCACACTGCAAAGTTCCAGTATATGTTGCAGAATAGTGAAGCACTTGACAAAGAACCGTGTCATCCAATATTTGATGCAACGACACACCCTAATGATGGTGTAGCAATGTGACCCACATATAGTGTCGTCCAAAAATGGTATAACAATGCACCTCGATGATGGTGACTTTCGGTGGATCTCTAAAGCTCTTCCCTCACAACTCTCCACTATGAACTATGTAGTCAACTACACCCTATGTGGTCTACGTCTCCTGCAGCTACTGACTTCATTCTTTGTGGCCTACATATGTTATCATAGCTCACTACCACGACCTACACTACCAACTACGACCTGTGCAGCTTCAGATTACAACCTACGTGGTCCACAACTTGTGCAGTTTTAGAATCTAGTCTCTGCGGTCTACGGACGTCATCATAGCTCACCACTACGACCTACATGATCCAACTATGGCCTACTTTATCCACAACTCGTGCAGCTCCGGCTCAAACCTTTGTGGCCTACAAACGTCATCACAACCCAACACCACGTCCTAAATGACCAACTAAGACCTATGTGGTCCACAACTCATATGGCTCTCGACTCCAGCCTCTGCGGCCTCTGGACATCATCCCAATTCACCATGACATCTTACACAACCAACTACGACCCACATTGTCCAAAACTCCTACACCTTCTGACCCTGACTCCTACAGCCTATGGATGTCATCACAACACACCACTACGCTTATGTGCTCAACTACGATCTATGTGGCACACAGCTCCTAGAGTTTTCTACTATGACCTTTTCTAGTCAGTCGACGCTCCGAAAGCAACTATCTGCTGCCACACGACCAATTACTAACATGACTTCCACTACGACCTATACTCCAATTGGGTGCTACAATCACCGTCTACAATATTTGTGGCAAATTGTTGTCTTCATAACAATCGACTGCAGTCGTTGTACTCCACTATGACAAAGAGCTATATTCATTACTGTCAAACTATAAGTATTATCGATAAACTATTATTGTACATTTACAATAATCAACTTCGTAACATCATATTTCCTAATCAAAAGAATAACGGACATTTGTACTCATCATTCATAGTTAATTGTTTCAGCTAGGTTGGACCCCATGTTTTTTTTCTCTTTCTAGGGTTTTCCACATAAAAATTGAGGTGTCTCCATCTGTTTATTTCTCTTTAATTACTTGAGCATATGATGGATTTTCGTGCAATACTATAACGATAATTCTTTACTTTACCAATGCGGACCTTCTGGCACATATCATGGGTGATGAATTTTGTTGATGATGTTTGAGTGTTACATTCAAGAGTGAATTGATAAGTAAACTAAATTAAAATTGTTTATATAATAATAATAATAATAATACAAATATCTAAAATATCGAACTTGAATCTACGCATGGATATGTCCTCCAAGAAATTCGAGTTAGAAATATAAGAAGATGCTCCCGCATATGAGAATTAGAACAAAAATAGTTGGACGCATTTGAGGTTCTAATCGAACTTATAACCATGGCATACCAAGTAAATGAGGCTGCTTTATTAGATGTGAGGAAGAGATGGGACTAATGGTCAGTTTGGGGCAGCTGTAGCTTATTGAATAATCTGCTGATAAGCTGATTAAAAATAATCTGCTGATAAGTTAAGTATGATGGTTATTATAAATTTTTTTTTTTTTTGAAAAGCCTGATTGTTGCCAATAAACTGCCACTGCACCTAAATATGTGCAGTGTGAAAACGCTGTTTTCTGCATTTTGAAAACGCATAAGCTGTCAAAATGCAGTTTACCCAAACAGGTTATGTGCATTTTCAAAATGCCACCGCACCAAATAAGCTGCCCCAAACAGGACCTAAGCTCTGGCCAACGGATCAACAGTTGCGCGGAAGAGGATATCAAATTAAGGGCCTGTTTGATAGAACTTTAAGATGGCTTTATGTAAATCTGTCAAACACAAAGAAGTTAAATTTGAAACTTGGCTTTAAGGAGGAAGCCTTTTCTGGTAGCGCAGGAAGAGGAGGGAGACCAACAAACATCATCAAGGGATTTAATTGGATTTAATTTAAATCATATCAAACATCTTTGTGGATTTGACACATCTGAATTTGATAAATATGAATGTATAGGATTTACAAAATTTATTTAACTTGAATCTCTGGCGCAGCCAAACACCACCTAAGGATTGGACTGTTTTATTGCAAAATAACATTTGGAGAGAGTGAACAGCTACATAAACAAACATCAAAGTTTAGATGTTCAAACAAGTAAATACATAAGCCTTATGTTATAGGTATATACATCCCCAACCAAAGCCTGCACCCAAACTAGGGTTATTTATGGGATGCATCTCAATAAAAATAATGAAAATAACCATAAGATGATGGATGATAACTTCTTCCTAACCTTTGCTAAACTTGAAGTGGTTCAAGTCAATCCACCACAATTTACAGAAATTATCGGCAACTTCATTCGTGCTCCGCCAATTAAGCATTTAGAAAAATTATTGATGCTTCTTGCATGATGCTTTTATCTATTATGAATCATATATGATCATTATTCTCAATTATTGTCATTTTATTAAAAAAATGCATTAAAATTTAACAGAAGAGGGACGAGTGGCAGAAATAAAAACAATAACTTGAAGAATAATGATAAAATAAAACAAATTAGAATAACATCAATCAAAGATGAGATGATAAATTATATATTAGGCGACGTAGATTCCAAACAACTACATAAAATTATAAAAAAAGCTGCCAAAATAACAAATATTCATCGAAGAGGGAGAATGAATGCATGAAAGAGTAGGTGATGAACCACCTGCAACAATACCAAATGATTTGAAAACATGCTACAAAAATAACTAGCAAGACTGTCGTGAGGCTATGGAAACGTGGGGTTGAAGAAAACTCTCATGGACTGGCTGCAGATATCTTCATCCGTAGGCTTCCTTGTGCAATAATGCGACACAAATCAAACTTGAAATTGAGAATGTCAGCTTCGCTTAGTTGCCATCCTCATCCTCCTCATCTTCCTGTTCATCATCTTCATCATCCTCCTCACTGCCTTTATCCTGAAAATATAAGAAACAAGTTAAGAAAACATAATGCAACCAGATTTTTATAAAGGCCCATCCAACTGATGAATCTATACCATTATTGCTGTTTCAGAATTCATTATGACTTCGATTATAAAAATTTAACCTCGATAATGACTTAAGATGTCATGTAAAGATGCACAAGCCCAAAAAGACAGCCAAAACTCCCAAATGATCGAAATAAAATAAAACATAAACATTGAATGCTTAAGAGTCGATCTGCATTTGAGTCTACATAGGTTGTTCATTTTAATAGAAAGACGATATTAATTGAACTTTTTGACATTGTTTTACAATTCTAGCATGGGCAATCAATGCATTTGCCTACACCTGGCCGTTTCATTCAAAGAAATGGGGGCATTCCATACAAGAAAACCAATAGCCACTATAGTCTAACAAAAATGATTGAGCGACAGATAAGTGGAGATAATGAAATAGGGCACCAACCTCATCGTCATCATCCTCGTCTCCATCAAAATCTTCCTCATCAGCTTCCTATTGAAGGGGCAGAAATAGTTTATAAAGGTAGTATATACATCAGCTCCATATAAATATGGTACTGCTTAAAAATTTATTGAGAAGAAAAAAAAACAAAACAAAACAAAACAAAACAAAAGGTCAAGAAGCCTTACATTGTTGAAATACCTTAGAGGGTTTGGCCACAAGTCCTCTTTTATAATCTCAGCGATCTAAACATTTGCGAGAGCAGAGACTTAATAAGGAAAAAAAAAAAAAATCTTAATCTTAAATTGTAACAAGATGTTTGTAACAAGATGTCATATATAGCCAGCTAAGGTGGCTGGATATAACTGATAATGAAGTTATAGATAATGGAAACTTGAGAGCACATATATTGGCAAACTATGAAGGAGAACATTGGCGTCTTCACGATAGCACAAAACTCTACAAAATTAAAATCCACTACCATTAGTAGCTGCTGCAGCAAACTAACTAACCTCATCAGAAATTCCCCCCGAGAGACTTTTTGCTCGAGTTTCATCAAACCAACAAAAAAAGCTGCATTAATAATAAGATCAGAATGAATCGCATTTTTCAATGAACCAACAAATGAAAACCACATTAATAAACCCAGAAAAGAGTTAATAGACGATGGTAGTTCTTTAAAATATCAAAAAATGATTTATACTACATCAATATGACTAAAAATAAAATCAATCTTAAAAACAAAAGGATCAGCTGGAACAGATTATAAATACTTGTGTCAAATATGATCTTTGAAAGCTAGCATAGATCATTTGGATCAGATCTTGAGCATATGATGCGTCCTACGAAATCATCAAAACAATAGCTCAAGAAATCAACTGAGAGGTTTCATCCCTGCGGCTCAAGTTACCAATCGAGCTTGAAGGTGTGTGAGAATGGAAACTAATTCAAAAGAATCTCCCCTTTGGAATGAAAACTGGGAGCTCAAAGGAAAACCATTCTCACTTGAAAAGGGGAAAATGAGTTTAAAAGTTTTTTACATTCCCTAGAGGAGTTAATTTATAAATGTGAAGATGAAGGGCTATTTAATGCTTTTACTGAATGAATGATGAAGGGGAGATTTTTGTCTACCGACCAATTTGAAAACTGAGAAGAAAGACGACTCTATTTTGAAATCCATATCACTTTACCCTTGGAGGTGATAAATAAGAGAATGAAGGTTTTAGGTGTGGCTAATGATTGGAATTATGTTGTAGTCTGAATCTATGATTAATTTCAGGGAACGCTGATTATCAAATCTTGATTAAAGCCTCAAGATCTACACTGATCTTATGAATTTGATGAAGGGTATTAGCAAATTTTGAAAGACGTATTATCGCTCCATTTTACACCCATAGCAAAGAGATTGAAGTAGCATGAATCTTGGCGCCAAGGTTCAGACAAGAAGGAGTAATTATTTATTATATTTTTACAGCCAAATATCATTTGCCACCTTATTTTTACATTTATAATAACTCGCCAAAATAAGTATAACTTTAAAGGGGGGTTACTTCAACATCTCGAGTCTTTGTAATCAATAGGAATAGTCTTAACTTTGTCAAACAACTACTCCAAGATAATTATTGTGGTTATTCATTTTGAGTTGCAAATCAAGGTATCATAAGCTGACCCATAAATGTGACCTTCTGTAGATGACTTGGCCTTTACATGAGAGAAACTTGTTCCAACGTCAAACCAGAGAATATCCTTCAATTTTATATAGATCATGTGTGTGGGTCGAGCATCAGGTTTGGCCATAGGGCCTATTCCTTAGGGGGCTAAGATTTGGTCCAAACTCAACTAATAAGTAGGTTGATTGCTCCAAAAGATAATCTTCTAAACTCGGATGAATCAGACAAGGGCTAATAGTCCACTGGGCCAACTTTCAGGTTCACACATAATTGCTTCTGATGCAAGACCCGCGAAGATGACACGCTTGGGCTCATGCTTACATGATTTTGAAATGATGGGAAGGGATTGCAATAAAAGGAATAATAGAGATGCGATATCCGAACATCACCCTTTACAATGAAGTACAGTTCTTTAATTATTCATTTTCATTTCTCTCCCTCTCTTTCTTGATGTGGAAAAAATTATTGCTCATCTTTTGAGAAGCGGCAAAGAGTTATTTTGATCGCGCCAACTTCTAGATCTTATATGGTGAAGAAATAGATAGGTTTTATCATCCCTATAACTCATGGAAGAGGCACTTCTCAGATTAAAGAAGTTAAAAAGGTCATCTAAACCACACTAGTTATTCCCAAAAAAAAAAATCAAATGAACAGATTAAAAAAATATTGCGACTTATAGATACCTCTTGGCCTGACGTTCAAAGGGTTTGTTCAGTGGTGGTCTAAGCTTGCTCTAGGCTTAAGGGCTCTCTCTTTTAGTCATTTTAATGGAAAAGAGGGATAGGTAACGAACAACAACTATAACCATATGGCGGTAATCTAAGTATTTTTGCATTGTTTATGTTGAGAATTGTATATAGTTTAGGGTTCTATCTGTAAATAAAAAATATAGAAGAAATCTAGAGATTTAATAAGTTGTTAGGGTCAATATAAACCCAAATTTTTAATGAATAGAAGTGGTTTTTTAGAGCAATTATTTCAAATTGGTATCAGCGCCCTAACCTTACCACTACCAGCTCAATCCGGAAACTCCCCACTCGGAAGTCAGGCGACCTTGATAGAATCTAAGAAATTTGTGGGAAGAGGAAGGACAAAAAGGCTGAAACCCGCGCGTACTTCATGCCTCAACGAGAAGAGTCTGTATTGTGAAGCATCCGCGACGAGTCACAATTGCGGCGACAAATTGGGTCAGGAGTGGTGTCCTCCTGGCAAAGCAGTTGCGATTAGAGCTAGCAAAGGAGGCTTCAGCTTGAAACAGAGAGGCTGGAGCAACTTCAGTGGTCTTCGTAAGCATAAGTCTCGTCATTGCCTTCTAAATGGGCTCTAACCACAACTATATTGTGTGTAAAGCGATGAGAAATATCGCAACACGGTGCGGTCTTGCTTGCGGCTTGGAAGTGAGGAAGGCAGCAGACCAAGGCCTTCGTTTCTGGAGTTGCAATCAACAATAGAGAGTGAATGATAGAAACGACTGTAGTCTTGCATGCGGTACAGAGGGGTTGCGATTTCGTGCGGGCTAAGTGGATCACACGAACTTGCAGGACGGAATTCGTGAGTGATCTGTGCATCTAGACTTGATCCTTGTGATTAAAGACGCCAGGAGACATAGATAGTGCGAGAGGTAAGAGATTGGAACTTCTGGGGAAGATAGATCATGAAGTTCTAAAGGACTTGGTTGGGCTCAAACAGGGAGTTAGCATTTCGACAGGAGCCACTACCTCAACACATACTTCGACGCAGGTGGAGATGGATCTCCCTCCTATGGATCTGAAGCTCGATGGACTGGACACATACTGAGTTTATCGAGTCGGATCGAGGTTGCTCCAGTAGGGAAGAGGCTAGAAGGATACTTAACGGAGGGGTCAAGCCGAAGAGTAACAATACCGAGGGGGATGAATGGAGGACCACACATACATTGTTTTACAACTGGTTACTCGACTCGATAATTTCATCAATTACGTCATTCAAAAAGTGAAAGACATCTGGGTAAAGCTGAAGATGACCTACGTTGGGACTAAGAATCACATGAAGGTATTCCAGATTCGCGTGACCTAGAGGCAATTGTACATGTTGATAAATCGATTTAAAAATACTCTATAGAACTGAAGTGGTTGTGACAAGATCTTTGATCATTTCTCACCTATGTCGAGCTGCGGTGATCCGAGTTGCAAGAAGGGAAAGATCTTTGCACAAATAAATACTATGCAGTTTATGGCTCGTCTGGACTCGATCTTTGATTAAAGGATGTCAGTCCTCCTAACCAAGGCAATGATTCCTTCACTGGATGAGGCATCCAATAATCATCAAAAGGGAGCATTGTTACTTATGCTCACTCAACCAAAAGTACCAATGATACTGATACTCTTGCCTCAATATCCACCACAAAACACCAGAGTGAATAGTAGATTTTAATACACCTCGACATGTCATAGGTGCCGCTAGTAAGTTCTCTTCCTATAATCACTTGGCAACTTCAAAGAACATTCAGACTGCTGATGGTACAACACATCTTATACTTGCTAAGGGTACAGTGAGGTGTAACAGTTCTATTATTACGTCTAATGTTTTGCATGCCCCTACTTTTCCACTGAACTTTTTTCTTCATTAGTGTATATATACTCCAGCTAAAATGTGTTGTTTAATTTAATATTCCTAAGGTGTTCTTTCAAGAAAAATGGACTGGCATGTGGCATAATAGACTCTGATACTTGGATAGCAAGTAGATGGACTCAGCCTTGACATCCATCATAGAAAGTGCTGGAATAGGAGGATTTAGAAGAGTGTGGAGGATGTGTTGTTGCCAAATCACAAGCACATATGACACTATTGATTTAGTCTATTGAGTCGTTTATATCTATCTTTGTATGAAAAGGCAAATAAGCAAAAACTTGTGTGATGTTTGTGAAACTAGGAGCTCTTATGTTGGTTGTGGTAATATTAGTTCTTGTGTTTTTGATTTGGTGAATTCAAACGTATGGGGAACTTGTTCTACAACTTAGATGAATGGTTTCAAATATTTTGTTATTTTTATTAATTATTTTTTGGTATTACTTAGTTATATCCGAAGAGAAATAAAAGAGATGTGCATGCCTGCTTTAAATACTTTTACAGGATAATTTAGACAATGTAGTGCGGTAGTGAATATAATGAGATCTGATAATGAGACAGAATATACCAACAAGACGTTTGAAGAGTATATGTCAGCCCAAGGGATACAACAACAAACTACATGTCTATACACACCGACACAAAACGAAATAACAGAGTCTTCTAGAGGCGGCCCGAAGCATGATGATCTTGATGAATATCCCAAAGCACATATAAGGCAAGTTATTTTGACAGTCCCTCAATTAATCAACAAAATGCCCTTAGAGTGTTGGAGTAGAATTTCCTTGCGAGTTGTGAAATGTGTTTTTGTGGGTTATTCTGCCATCCAGAATGGGTATGTTTGTTGGAGTCCAATAGAGAAGAGACTGAGTATGGATAACTTTTAGAGAATTTGGTCTGTACTATACTTTGGAGATTGACCTTGCCTTTGATGACTCGCTATATACTAAAGGTATAGGCGAGAATGAGAGAGTAGTGATGGTGAGAAATTAGTACTGGGAATGATGTTTTGTTAGTTGTGCGGGCAGGATCGACAGAGGAAGAGTCGTAAAATGAGAAAAATGAGCCCGAAGGTGGTGGGATTTAAGCTTAAGGAGAGCTAAGGGTGTATACAAGAACGCAGAATAAAGAAACAGTGCCTGCCACTCCACTCGTGCCAACAAATCTCGTCCCGGCCTACCCCTACTCCTGAGATGCCTATATTGTGCACCTTAAAATTCGATAACACAAGTGATGATTCAACTTATTTCTCCTCACACTCCCATGACTTTAAGGACCTCTCGCATCAATGTAGACAATCCTTTTGATCGTTACTCCCCTAATCGTTTTAGTTTCTCACATGGAATTGCCTAGTTTATCTCATATTCTAGCACATCGCATTTACACGGAACATTCATTGCATCATTAAACACTGTGTCGATACTCAAGTGTTGGCAGGTAGCTCAGGATGATCCAAAATGAAAAATTGTCATGCTAGAAGAACTTGGTGCTCTCGATAAAAACATGGCGTAGGAGCTCGTGTTGCTACCAGTAGGAAAAAAGACAATCGGTGCAAATGAGTCTTCATAATGAAGCCATACCTCAGAAGAAAAAATTGATCGTTACAAAACACGGTTGGTGACGAAACAGTGGGCAAGGTATGAAACAACCTCCTTAAGCTTGGTTTGACAGGTGCATGAGAGCAATGATAGGCATGAGCTATTAGCATATCAATGTCAACCGCACTGTTTTTTCGACAACATGGTGATCACATTACTATTTTTGTTGTATATGTGGATGATATGATTGTCACTGGTGATGATGAGGGAGAGATTGCTCCGTTGACTACAATTTTGGGCAAAGAGTTTGAGATGTCAGACCTAAGACAACTTAGATACTTCTTTGGGATCAGGGTGGCTCGTAGAGTAGAGGGAATTGTTCTATCTCAAAGGAAGTATGTGCTAGAGTTACTCATAGAAACAAACATGTTGGGATGCAAGCCTGCAGTCTCATCAATAGTTTAGCGTAGAGACAAGAGACAGGGTACAAGGATCGTGAGAGATACTAGAGGTTTTGGTAGGTCGTCTCATCTATCTGAATACTCGTCCGGACATATCATTTGCAGTAAGTGTGGCAAGCCGCTACATACATGATCCGAGGATGGGCCACATGGGGATGCAATGAATCGGATTCTAAGATACCTAAATAGTGCACTATGGAAGGGGTTGATTTTCATAAAAAATGGGCATTTGGCACATTGACGACTATTTTGACTCTGATTGGGTTAATTGTGCTGAAGATAGGAGGTCCACATCATAATATTGCATGTTCGTAGGGGCAATTTGGTCTCTTGGAAGAGAAAGAAGCAATTAGTAGTTGTGAGGTCGACGACAAAGACAGGGTACAAGGCCATGGACTCAAGAGTTGCCAAGATGTTATGATTGAGAGCTCTATTAGTAGAACTCAAGGTGGACCAAGCAGCTCAAATGAGGTTGTAGTGCGACAACAAGTCAACAAATTTACCAGCATGTTGTAGCAAGACAAAACCAAGTATGTAAAGATTGATATGTTCATCATCAAAGAGAACCTGAACAGTTGACTACTGGAGATAAGTCATGTAGCTACTAAGAGCAAGTAGCAGACTGCCTCACCAAGAAACTTAGCTCATTAGATCTAAGTTGCCTTATAAGATTGGTTTAGTGAATATCTTTTGCCCATCTAAAGAAAAAGCGTCGAGAATTATATATATTTTAAGGTCGTATTTGTAAATAGGAAAAATAGAAGAGGTCTAGAGATTTATTTGTAAATAAAGTTATAAGGCTCTATATAAGCCTAAGGCTTGAATGAATAGAAATGGCGCTTTAGAGCAATTATTTCAATTGTTTAGTTGGTCATCATAAATGCCTTCGGAGTTTGTAGTCTACTTCACATGGAGCTGGCATGAGAAAGTTAAGGATCAATCTAAACTTTGTCAGTTTGTGAGATTTTGAAGAACGTATCCCTTCGGAATTGAAATTACATCTTTGGGATTGTTTCCTTAGCCATGTCGGGTGAGAAAAGTCTATTCCAACATTGAGGAATTGTGTTGAGCCATGTTCAGATTGATGTTATGATTGAATATTCCTTGGATTGTTTTGATCACAATGCAAATGCGTGCGAGTAGGTTAAAGCAATATAGACATATATGGGTTAATATAAGAATCAAAATCTTCCGAGATTGATTAAGTCACAATGGAACAACATAAAAGTAAAATCGAGCTATGGTCCAACACATGCATTTTAATGTAATTAAACCTTATTTAGATTAATTAAGTTACGATGCAGACAATAAAGAAAAGGTCAACACAATAGCATATGAAGTTATAGAGGTGAGCATTAAAAGTAATTTACATTCCCCTGAAATGAGGCATTCATACAGGTTAGCATAAAAAAATAAAAAATAATAAAAAAAAGGTAATATTGCTGAAGTAGATAACGGATGAAGGGGACACCTTATCTTTATTCATTCTGAATGAAGATGCCTAAGTGGAGGGGTATTTTGATCACCTAAACAATCAACTATGATTGAGATTTGCCTCATTTTTAAGATATGCATCAAACCATTTTGCCCCAAGAGGGGATGAATGGGGAAACAAAGCCGTCAATCTTTAAGATCATTGTGATCTATGATTCGGAACAATGATTCTAAGATTGGCATAAGGTGTGCGATGGATTGTCAAATCTTAGTTAATCCTTTAAGATTTGTTCTTGATTTTATGAATTTAAAGAGCTTACAAACATTTAAACACAATAGGGTGGCCAAAATTAGAGAAACCATCCACCCTTACCCATGCTACAGAGTGATTGAAGCATGAATCTTAACGCCATAGTTTGAACGGTCAAGATTAATTGATTGTTATTATATTTATAGGAGAGTTTCAACCATCAAGAGATAAGAAAAAACCAGCCCAAAAAAATAGAACTGAAGATTGATTTCAACACCTCAAAAAACTTGAATATTTGAGAAAAAGACGCCTCGCATTCCAAGTAAGAAAATCATGAATGAATCACAGACAAGACGTGTGACCTAGACAAAACAATCTATCTAAGCCGTATGGTTTCTTTATATTTAAAGTGACAAACCAAGTTGCTATTAAACTACCATCCACAAATTAAGCCTGAATTTTTTGCAAGCCATACAACGTGAAACTTCAAGTTCACAAAAAGAGGAGATAGCAATAATTATGGCCAAAAACTTTGGCGATTAATTGAAAATGAAAAAACAACAATATAAAAGTAGTACAGAAGACTTTCCCAGTCAATTAAAGTACTGCTTAAAGTCCAATGACCTATTTTGCCATACACAAAATGCATAAAAGTTATTGTTAGGCGTTGATATCATCATATGGTAATATAACCAGAAAATATAAATGAGTTCAGAGACCCCACACTACGCTACATTATCTTCGTAACAAATTTCTACAAAAATATGAGAATGTTTTGTTACAGATAGGTAAGCCGTATTATTCATCCAATAAAAAATGTGTTTCAAGAATAAGATGTCAATTACACAGCTGGACAATCCGCTATGCTAATAATTGGATGTCAACACATTCAATGAACCAAGGAAAATCAATATAAAAACTTGCCTTTCCTCAGTAAGGGAGCGCTTCTTTCCTTTCTTTTCATGAGAAGCACCATTTGCAATACCCTTAAAAACATAAAAAAATAGGTTAAAATAAAACAGTAAAGAAATAAGCACAAAAATTAGTTGAAAATTGCACTTGCCATTCCCTCCTTCCACTTGATAGTTGTTCCAGCTATGTCAGTAGTTCCATCTTCAAAAAAGGTGTACGTCTTTGATAGCTTTGTCTCCTCAAAATATGGATTAGTGCTGAAGTTCTGGACATGAATCAAATTGGTTACAAATAGTATAAAACAGTTAAAAACACCCAATCTCTAGAAAAAATGCATACATCTCAGGATAAATCAAATACTCACAAAGGTTATAGTGTATCCTGATTTTAAATCCTTAGAATCTTCCACTTCTAAAGATGACAGGTACTTGAAAATCTATTTCGATGCAAAAACTATGGAGTCAAAACTTATAAATCTCAGAGACAAAGCAATTCAATTAAATGAAAAAAGGAGCAAATATTTTACCCAAACAAATAAATAAAATGGTATAAAGGGTTTTAGATTAAACATGCTGATAAAATTTCTAAAAAAAAGAAAAATCTTTTGACAAACCTTCTGGTCTTCTTCGCTAAGAAGTTGACCAAGCCCTGGATGACTCATAAACTGCAGAGAATAGAGCATTTAAGATAATAAGCAAGCAGCCACAAGCAGAGTAAATCTCTAAATGAAAGATCAAGTTATGACATTCCACATACTGCAGTCAACCAAAAGTCAGGAATAGATTGAATTATGTCATTTCTTCTCTTATAGACTGGTTGGCGTATCTCATTAAATTTTTGTTCCACTTCCAAAACCTTGTCACTTGCATCCTCGTTTATCTGAGCGATATGAATCAAGAATAGGAAATTACAATCACAAATATGGAAGAACCAGCACTCTTCAGTTTGAGTGTAAAGTAAAAACCTTAGTTACAATAAATATAACTATAAATAAATAAATAAATAAATATAT